TCGCCGTCAGTTCCCCAGTCTCCCAAACGCAGCTTGCGTCTGTAGCATTCACCTTTGGGTTCCCTGCTTCGTCAAGGGCCTTTCAGTCACACGTAATGGAACTCATCGCACATCTCAAAATTTGACCATTTGTTTCTATGTTCTTTCAGTCTGTTCATCGCTTCGCTCCACATTTCTTGAATAGCGTTTGCATCCACTATGCGAACAATTTTTACAGCGTCAACAATGCGAACAACTTCTACAGCAACGAGATGGGTTGGTAAGCCGATCCGGCAAGGTCAGGGTAACCAGCCTTGACGACACCCTCCGCTCCGTCCTTCTTGGCAATCTCCATAAATTGGCCAACCTCTTCTTTGAACTTTTGGACAGCTTCCTCATTGGTAGCGTCGAAAGGCTGAATACCGTTGGCAACTTGCCGGATTTGAGTACCGGCAGCGACGTTGGTGATGCCAAAGTCGTGCTCGGGCAAAAGTCCCTTTCTTGCCCCGTCGAGTTTGCCAGAGATGATCAGGCTAGGCAATCCAAAGTCTTGCGTAGCAGGTCGAGCAATCTGAGGTGAGGCGAAGACAAGTTGGTTGCACACGATGAGCATGAGCAGTGGCAAGGGGAGATGCTCCATCTCACACTCACTCCGACACCGTCAGTGACGCCTTGTCGAACAGCATCTGCCATTGCCTTGGCGCTGCGGAAACCGCCTGTGGTCCAGATCGTGCTCTTGGATACACCTTGTCGTATCGTCTCGGCAAATTGCAAGAAGAAGCCCTCGCGAGCCTTTGTCGATTCACGCTTGTGCGTAAAGGCGAGGCTCTCATACGTACCGCCAGAGAGCTGCGATGACGAGAGGTATTGTGTTATTGAAAAGCTGGAATGAAAGTTGAAATTGTCAAACCCGCACTTACCTCGATGACGTCGACGCCCAGCTGCTCCAAGTGCTTGCAGACAGCAGCAGACTCTTCAGGCTGAAAACCGCCTTCTTGGAATTCAACCTGCGTCCAAAATGCCGTACAAGTCAGCACCATCTCCATGCGCAGAGCCAATGCTCGTTCAAGTGTTGGACAGGCTGCTCACCGAGTTGATCTTGATGGCTTTGATGAACTTGGGGTCCGAAATGCGGCGGTCGATCTCCTCGAAGATTTCGTAGATGATGCGCGCACGATTCTCGAGGGAGCCGCCGTACTTGTCTGTGCGCTTGTTGGTAGTGCTAGACAAGAATTGTGCCAGCAAGTAGCCTGTGAACGGAGGGAGGGCACGGGTGAGCGCGGGCGCTCTGCAAGCTTGCAGCAGCCAGAGAGACGGGGGACGCACCGTGAGCGGCGTGCAGCTGGATGCCATCGGCGCCCCATTCGTGGGATTTCTGGGCAGCATAGGCAAAGTCGTTGACGACCTTCTTGATGCCAGCCTCGTCAAGAGGAGTAGGCTTGGCAAAGTTGTAGCCCATGGTGGGAGGACAAGGAATGTCACTGGCGCTGACCGGATTCTTGGTCAGAGCGTCGGCCACTTGTCGACCTCCGTGGCTGAGTTGCACCACAAACAAAGACTTGCCAGCGGCGCCCTTGCCTGCTTTGAACAAGCGCCTGAACTGCTTTTCGCGCTCTTCGGGTTTGTCCAAGCCTTCGTGGATGATGGCGTTTCCAGGTGCTTCGAGGTTGATTGGATCGACGATGGTGTTGCCGGACAATACGATGCTGACGGCAAATCACGCAATCACGCAAACAAAAGTACGATATCTTCCGTCTCAGTGTCGGGCCGCGCAGCGCATTGGCACACGGAGACACTCACCCGTAGCCGCCGTTGCCCCATTCCTCGTAGACCTTGACAAGGCCATCCGAGGGGATGCCTCGCGCTTCAGGCCTCTGCTGATCCCAACCGGATAGTCGCTCGGTCATGGCGCCCTTCATGAATCGCGAAGGCGCCACCCTGCCCG